CAAGGGGTGAGGGGAAGGGAGGAGGGGAATTTCGAGGGATTTGATTTGCTAAAAATCCACTCACCTCAATTTTCTTCAATCCGGATCTCCACGAAAATAATTTGGCGAAAATTTAGAACTCTCGAAGACAAAATAGTTTGGCAAAAAATCTAGAACTCACAAAGAGATCTAGCTTCTCCTACGAACTCACTAAGAGATCGAGGAGGGGAACTCACAAAGAGATCATAAGTGGCAAATTTTCATTCATCAAAAACTAACTCTTACATAAGAAAATGGCCATATAAATAGGCCTCAAAATGACAAGAAAGCAAAAGACTAAAATGCCCCTCGGGCTACAATAACGACTAATTACCCATAAGGGCAAAAATGGAAAAAACATAAAAATCAAATTAACTACTACATAAAATGACTCAAAATAAAACTCATGATCGTGGCCGTTGATCTCCGGTGTCTCCTGATGGTACATGTGTTGAAATCTCTGATGATGTCCTCATCATTCTCCCCAGGTGGGAGAAAACTCGACCCCGTCGAGTAAGCATCTATAGAGCTCTCGTACCACTCTAGTAAGTCGGGGTCCACTCGCTGCAGCTCATCACGATCGACCCATGTGTTCTCCGTCTCCGGTTTCCCTGCCCACGGAACTAGATACCTTTGTTGACCATCATCTCTAGTGGAAATTTGAGTTCATCACTCAGTATGTTCTCAATCTTCTCTGTATTAGGTAAATTAGGCCATTTTGGGGGTGGAGTTAGGCTGGGGATCTCACCAGGTGGGTTCACACAAGGCTCATTATTTCGTGGAATATGAGAGCTACACTCTGGACCTTTGAAGGTTACAAGATCTTCGATGTTAATATAGGATTAATGTTAAACCTTCAGAAAGGTTTGACACATAAGCATTACTATTTAAAATTTTCTGCTGTTATTTGAACGGTCCAATGCTTCTAGCATATAACTTTATAACGGTCCCTTGTGGGAACCGCTCCGGACGAATCCGAACCAATACAAAATCTCTAATATCAAATTCTTGGAACCGTCTATTGAGATCGGTAGTAAGTTTATAACTGGCATTGCTTTGGTTATTCTTTTTATTAATATCCTTTTGCAGTTCTTGAAGATGAGATGCAAATGTGGATGCAAGAGACTCGGTGTGCATGATGAATGACAAGGATCATGAGCTTACAACGATTAAAACATCAACAATTTAGAAAGACAACAGACTACAACACACTCACACAACATACTAACTCACACGAACACGTTGCTAGAACAAGGTAGACGAGTCACAAAGAGGGTCTAAAGTTTTTGGTCTAATGGAACTGGTGTGGGTGGAGCAATGAAGACATCCTTAGCTAAAAGGGCTTCTCCACAGAGCATCTCAGCTCGGGTCACAGACAGTCTCCTAGCGACGGTAGGATACTCTATCAAAGTCATCCAACTAGGAGAGATAATATCCTTACTAGGGAAGGACAAAGATATCGAGGGCATAATGTAGGAATCAGGAGTATGATAATACGATGGGTCATGACTTACTACCATAGTAGGATAGCCCAAAGAGTGACTAGCGGGTAGGGGACTCAAGAGATGGGGTAGGGTTTCCCTAACATAATTGGGCACAATTGTTAGAAATGTGACCTGAAAGTATGGGCTACGACTCTCGCTAACACCAAGGTCGGTGATATAAGTCCAATCACGAGAGGTATACTCTGTCAAATGCACCTCTAAAGGAGCAACTCCTA